GAAACCCTAGGGTCAACGCCGGTCAATGCGTAACCCTAGGTCAACGCCAGTCAACGCGTTGCGACCAAAAAGTCAACATTCGACGCTCGAAACAATAAGGTCAACACCGGTCAACGCGTAACCCTAGGTCAACGCCAGTCAACGCGTTGCGACCAAAAAGTCAACATTCGACGCTCGAAACAATAAGGTCAACACCGGTCAACGCGTAACCCTAGGTCAACGCCAGTCAATGCGTTGCGACCAAAAAGTCAACGTTCGGCGCTCGAAACCCTAAAGTCAACGCCGGTCAACGCGTAACCCTAGGTCAACGCTAGTCAATGTGTTACGACCAAAAAGTCAACGTTCGGCGCTCGAAACCCTAAGGTCAACGCGTAACCCTAGGTCAATGCCAGTCAACGCGTTGCGACCAAAAAGTCAACGTTCGACGTTCGAAACCCTAAGGTCAACGCCGGTCAACGCGTAACCCTAGGTCAACGCCACTCAACGCGTTGCGATAAAAAGTCAACATACGGTGATCTGAAACCCTAAATCAACACAATGTAACGAAGGTAGTCAGTTCAAAGTCAACTCAATGACACGAGCCAAACTCAACTCACTGGTGGTAGACTCGAGACTCCGACGACTCGGCTATTCGTCAAAGCATTGGATAGACCGAAAATCGAAGGAGCCAAGAGTTGAAGCTAACTACAGGTCCTTTACGCCGACTGAAGGCTGGACCAATCACATCCAAAGCATTCCAGCCTCTTCTATAAAAGAAACGAGTCTGGAACGCTTTGGAGGGGGTATCTGAAGGCATCGAAAATTGCCTATAGGTCTCCACGAACAGCTCAGTGTTAAGGAACGATGACGAACATCACTATCTGGTTCACAGGAGTTCGATTGACGTCGGTGAACGCTTGAAGTGAATCGACGAGCTACGTGAGCTGACAGAATTTTGGAATAACGAAGGTACGGGCTAATCGGGAGCCCCGCGATGTTTACAAAAGGAACAATGCCCTTCGTGTCTCATTCATTCTACAGATAATCTAACCATCGGAGCTGATAGAACTCATTGTCGGCTTTCCAACGCACTTCGAATCACTCAAATCCGAGTTCGGACGAAGGAATTATGGCGGAAACAGACAAATACACCAAATGGAGTGTCTCGGACCAACGAGACACCCTAAGGTGTCTCGGCTAAGGCCGAGACACCCTAGGGTGTCTCGGCCAAGGCCGAGGGTGTCTCGGCCAAGGCCGAGACACCCTAGGGTGTCTCGGCCCAAACCGAGACACACTAGGGTGTCTCGGATCAATGGGAGACAACCTAGGGTGTCTCGGATCAAGTGGAGACACCCTAGGGTGTCTCCAACGCAGATTTGGGCCTTAAGTGGTTTTAACCGCTCCGTTATCCCCCCAAGCCTATAAATACAAGCCTTAGGCCTCATTTTTTTAAGATCTGGAATTTTGGAGATCTGGAATTCTTGTGCCTCGACGAAGCCCTGCCGGATTGAAGACTTAAAGTGCACAGATTTCAGAGAGAAGGAGGAGAGATCGGATCGAGTTCTTCAACTTAAGAAAGAGAGATTCGTCAGATCTACATCACCCGCATCCAATCCTTAGTATTATCCCATTGTGGTAATTCTAAGAAGAGCAATTATCTCGCTTTTGTCGAGATAAGCGCTACAGTTTCTAGATCTCCTCGCGGATCGACGAAGCTCTGCCTAATTTTTCAGCAATCAGATCTGATCGACGGTAGTCCACGGATAAACCCCGGCACAGACAAAGACACCCACGCAAGCAGAAGACCGATAAACGATCTCTGCGTTTGTTTGACAAAGTTGTAAACTTTTTATTTTCATTGTGTAAGGAGATCTTATAAAAAGATCAACTTTTTATTTCATTCGAGTTTATTGTAACGACTAAAGTTGTAATAGATTTGATAGCAATGAAAACAACAGCTTTCACCGCAAACAAAAACGTTAAAGCCTCTTGACATGACTAATCAGCCCTATTTATAAATAATTAATGATGGTGTAGAGTTCCAAGACTCCCGATGAAGGAAGCCTCTTCGTCATCATTGCAGTCGCTTGGACTACCGATTAGACGCGGGACAAATCCCTGCGTCCATAAAGCCTGACTAAACGTAGTAGTCTGGAGATGCGTTCTTCCAAAAATACGCAACCCAACTCAAGAGTATGAACGCAGGGGGTACCCCTATTTCTAGAATCAGATTTTTAGAAAATATGCTGTTTGAGTTTTAAAACTTCTGCAGAATTTAAAACAAAATATTTGACGAAGTTTGAACTTCACCCTCCTCAGAGTTGCCCTGAACGCAACACTTCTAGCTTATCGACTCTCGTCAATAGAGCGATAGGTCCTCAAAGTTACCATGAACGCAACACTTCTAGCTTATCGACTCTCGTCAATAGAGCGATAGGTCCTCAAAGTTGCTCCGATCGCAACACTTCTAGCTTATCGACTCTCGTCAATAGAGCGATAAGTCCTCAAAGTTGCTCCGATCGCAACACTTCTAGCTTATCGACTCTCGTCAATAGAGCGATAAGTCCTCAAAGTATCGCAACACTTCTAGCTTATCGACTCTCGTCAATAGAGCGATAGGCCCTCAAAGTTGCCCCGATCGCAACACTTCTAGCTTATCGACTCTCGTCAATAGAGCGATAAGTCCTCAAAGTTGCTCCGATCGCAACACTTCTAGCTTATCGACTCTCATCAATAGAGCGATAAGTCCTCAAAGTTGCTCCGATCGCAACACTTCTAGCTTATCGACTCTCGTCAATAGAGCGATAGGCCCTCAAAGTTGCTCCGATCGCAACACTTCTAGCTTATCAACTCTCGTCAATAGAGCGATAAGTCCTCAAAGTTACTCCGATCGCAACACTTCTAGCTTATCGACTCTCGTCAATAGAGCGATAAGTCCTCAAAGTTGCTCCGATCGCAACACTTCTAGCTTATCGACTCTCGTCAATAGAGCGATAGGCCCTCAAAGTTGTTCCGATCGCAACACTTCTAGCTTATCGACTTTCGTCAATAGAGCGATAGGCCCTCAAAGTTGCTCCGATCACAACGCTCCTAGCTTATCGACTTTCGTCAATAGAGCGATAGGCCCTCAAAGTTGCTCTGATCGCAATACTTCTAACTTATCGACTCTCATCAATAGAGCGATAGGTCCCCAAAGTTGCACCGATCGTAACACCTTCCACTTGTCGACTCTTAACAATAGAGCGACGGGACCACAAAGGGTGCCACGTTAATATTACATTCCTGGCATTTACAGAATTCTTCCAGTATTTAAAGCAAAAGCATAATACAGGAGGAATAAATAGTTATTGTCGTAATATCAAACTGGTATTTCATGGTTCCATGTCAAAACATGATATGAAAAAAAAAGAAACAATGAAAAGCCAACACTATCCTTATTCAAAAGAAAACAAGGTGACCTAAGACAAGTGTTGTTTCTACCAAAAGAACGATACAAAAGTAGGCTCATCAATTCACCAGATTGAATGAGGCTAGCTGAGACTTAATATCAGAAAGTTTTCCTTCATGGTCAGCCCGAACCAGCATTTTGGCCCGTTTCCGAAGCTCGTCCTCACTAGACAGCATAGCATCTACCTCCTTCTTAGCCTCCTCCGGGGCACTAGCTTTTGTGCGATAATTCACCAGAGAGGTAGCACTTTTGACATTGAGCTCAGTGACGATGGCTTCTTCTCGTTTGAACTGAGCCTTCATCCTAGTCAACTCTACTTCAGCGGCAGTGATCTCCTCTCGTAAATTCTCCAAAGAAGTGTTGGAGAGTGTTAGCTCAGCTTGCTTTTGAGCATGCAGTTGCTGCAGATGTTCCACCTCGACCTCTTGCTCTGCTATATGACGTCGAGCGGCTTCATACTTATTAATTTCTTCGGCCCGAATATCCTCAAATGTGGAAGCAATCTGCGCCTGGATATCAACACGACCTAAAGCCTCCAAGAACCTTAGCTGTGCCTCTAGGCGCAAAATAGCTTCTGAGCAACGCTGAACGACGTGGGCTTCACCCATGAACTTTAGGTTGTTTAAACTATTTGTGAGCATAGGCTTAAAGGTTTCAAAAGTGTCTCGGCCAGCCAATACAACCTCAATCACCTTCCTGGTGAGACTTTCTAAATAGTCAAGAGAAATCTTGAGAAAATCTGGCACGTCCGTGGGACTCAAAACAGCTATGGGAGACGGCACAGAAACTTCTGAAGACACAGAGCCAAGTAAAAGACCAGCAGGTGACTTCGGCGTAGTGGCTTGAGAAGGAACGCCGATATCCAGTTGAGATGGACTTGATTGCAGAGCCATCAGTTACCCCCATGTTAGATGACCTTAGCATGTCTACCACTTCTGTAGAGGCTAGAGAAATTGTCAATAAAGTTGTCGGTGGGAGGGCCGTCGTTGAGACCTCCAAGCGAGGTGGCTCTGACACCTGAGCTGGTGGTGGCATAAGCTGTTTCGTCGAGGGAGGGGTGATAGTACTCGCCTCATGTATCATAGGATCTGTATGAGAAAACTATTTAAGTACAGAGCAAAGATTAGTTGCAAGTCGAAAAGAACGACACTTACCAGTGAGAGATAGAGGAATGTAGGCTGACGCCTTGTCGGAAGACGATGGTGGTGGAATATCCCAGTCATCGGGATCATCGCTGTCATCACCCAAGTTGTCATCATTTTCATTACCCTCACTTTGGTCACCATCATCATCCATACCGTTCTCGCCATCACTATGGTCCACAGGCTCATCTTCGTCTACGGAAGGAAATGCTGGTGGATCCTCGGTGATAGCAGGTTTTGATATGACTCCGGTCGTAGGGCTCAACTGCGCACCTCCTACAGGGGGTAGCAACACAGAAGCAGAATGAGACTTGTCCGCTACTGGATCTTGCTGGGCAGTCACAGTAGGTTCTTGGACAGGAGGTATATCTTCTTCGACACGAGGGGCAGTGGAGGCAGTATCATGAAGCGTGTCTGCAGGGGCAAACTCCATACCCCCTGCAAATGATTCATCTCCACGTTCTTCTTCATTCAATGAATGTGCAGAAGAGGCAGGGCCTCTTAAAGCTGGACCAACATTGGGGAGACCAGGCTGAGGCGAGAGTTCCATAGCAGTTGATTCTCGTTCTTCTTCATCGGTATGCCATGTTTTCTGAGCATCCGACATAAGCTTAGAAGCAGGGGGCTCGAGCGCTAACTTCCGACGAGCTCTTTTGTCATACTTGGCTTCTTCAACTGGCCCCAGCACTCTTTTTCCAGTGGCACTCTTACTCCGAGTCTGAACTCTTGAAGGTTCCACCTCGCGAGTATCCGGCATCCTGACCTCTTCCTGACCTTGCTCTGGTGATTATTGCCGTTCGTCCTCTGTAATCGACTTCTCATATGATAAATATTCGTTAGCACCACGGGCACAGAACCTTTTAGCACTCTTCTTTGAGGCATACCATTTGCGGATGGCTCTCAAGCAAGAGGTATTCATGCTGTAAGCTGAAATTTGAGAGGCAGCTTGGTACCACGTGCAAAAGCTCAAAGAAGTACGAACGTTGGGCATCTTGTGCGGCAGCCGGAATTTCGCTCCTGTACATCCTGCTACCGAGTAATACCAAGCCCTTGCTCCTTCATACACATTACCTGTGAACACAAGAGTAGGGTTTGGATTCCCGACATAAATCTGATCATAGTCAAATTGCCGAGAAAAGCAATAAGGCTGATATGGTTTAATAAAGCACTTCCTCCCTTGTCGAAAGATAAGATAACCTGGGCGAATGTTTATGAGCCACCAAAAGGCACCTCTGCTAAGCATGGTGAAGGAATTCGGTCCCGGAGTGTCTTGATGAAGTTCTCCGTACGCACCGCCCTCGAAAGCGGGAAACTTGCAAGCAATTTCATAATTATAGTCCCGCCTAAATATTTCACGGAATTTAACTTGATACCAACCAACCCATTGAGAGGTTTCTAATTGTTGAACAAGAGGAGCTGAGGTACCACTTGATTCAGGAGTCGACATTATCGAAGGGCAGTGCAAAACAAACCAAGACACCAAATAAATGTACGGCATCGGCACCCGAGGGGTTGGGGTCTGAATGATAGTCTTCCCGTCGGAGTCCAACTTCTTGACAGCAATAAATTCGGAAGATAGTTCCCGCAAGCCACTTTGTAAGCAGCACACCATGGCTGAAAGAAGATTCAAGGGGCGTCCATAAGCCAAAAGAACAGCGGGGTATAAGACCTCTACTGTAATAGCATCCACCGGTCTTATGGGTACCACGCAACGCTTCAACCAAAGAGTCAGAAAACCAGCGAACAAAGCCATGTCAGAGATGGGGATTTCTGCCTGATAGTGGAAGCTTTCGAACGTGGTGAACGCTGGGAAGACATCCTCCTCTACCTCGCAAGTATAATGAGAGGTTGTGTCATTGATGCGTTCTGTGATCTCCTTGAGAGTACTGGCAGCTAAAAGAGTCACCTCAGCTTCCTTGTCCCACAGATTTCGGAAAAGATACTCCGCCCACTGGCCTTGTTTCACGCCGCCTGCTCTTTTCCCAGTAGTTTGCGCACATATCTGGAAATGGCACATCAATTCCCAATAAGTGTTGTAGATTTCGGGAGCACCATTTTTTAGAATCTCTAATTCCCTATTTCCGGGAACAAACTCTTCATACGGCAACTCACCAAAAGACAATCCAGAAATCTCAAACATCTCATGAAGAGCGAAGCCTAATTCACCAACTGGGGTGAAAAAAGTGCCGGTGTGAGGATTGTAGAATTCCAGCATAGCAAAGAGTCCGCTGTAATTTGGAGAAATTCTGTATCGGGTGGCCATTATTGGAACCTTTAACTCCGAAATCCTCAAAGGTTCTTCTAGCTCCTCCAAGACGAAATTTATCATCCGGGCCCACCAGTCCGTATCACTGGAGTGAACCCATGTAGGAACCCTGAAATCCTGAGCAGGGAACTCTCCTTTGACAGAGATAAATTTTCTAATGAACACCTCCGCCAACTTAGCAGACTCTCCAACAGGATGCTCTTTCTGGAATAAACCTGGTTTTAAAGCCATAAAATTATTGAAACCAGCCGGATGAGTGCCCCGATGAGTGATGTGCCCTGTAGCAACACCGCCTTGGTCCTGAACGAGTTCCCAATTCATCGATCGTGGGATAGAAGCGCACTGATAATAAGAGATTGGCCACATTCGCTCCAAATTGGGAAGGAAAAGGCGACGGTTGTTGACGACCTTCAGCCATTTATAATTCCCCTCGGACATTCGCTTGGGATCCATTTTTATAGAATCCCCAAAGAGGAAGGATGTCTTCTTTAAAATCTCACGCTCTGTGGTTTCAAATTTAGCATCCGTAACCAAAGACCTGAGAGTCTCGGGAAAAGCTTGAGTGATGAGTTTCGCCCGCTCTTTGTGGGTGTCCTGGAATATTGGATACTCGAAGACAAAGCTGAAGATTGTATTCTTCACCGTACCTTCCGCGTGGCCGAAGTAGTAGTTGAAAGAAAGAGGCTCATTGGAGTAGCACACCGCAAAAAGAAAAAATCAGTCAGAAGAAGTCTAATACAAGAATGCAAGGTTTAGACCTGTGTCCGGATCTTTAAACGTAGGGTTTGAACCCGTATCTAAAATTTTAAACGTAAGGATTAGACCTGCGTTCGGATCTTTAAACGCAGGGTCTGAACCCACACCCAAATTTTAAACGCAAGGTTCAGACCTGCGTCCGGATCCTTAAACACAGGGTCTCAACCCGCATCCGAAATTTTAAACGCAGGGTCTGAACCTGCGTTGAAATTTTATGAACGATGGAGCTAGCCATGCGTTTTCTTAAAATCGATAAACACTAAGAATTATCTCTCGAGTTTAAGGATGGAATACAGATCGCCAATCAAGGGTTGAGGATGAGAGATCTGTCAAAGCAACTTATAATGGCTCAATCTTACCATTAGTTGAGGAAATCGGAGATGAAGGCGTAGTGATTTGATCATCACCGGAGGTTCTAGCCGAAGAAACGCCCTGAGCTTGGATGATCTTCGATTTGGAAGCCATTTTCTTCTTGGGGCCCATTCCAATCGTGGCGAGGAAGATAAAGACGGGCGGACGAGGTGTTTAGGAATTAATCATTTCCTCTGTCGAAATGCTGGAGAAGATGAACAGGAGCCCTGTTTGGAAATCGGTGGAAGAGTAAGAGGGGGAAAAGTCGAATGACTTTTTGATTTGACCTCAGTGGCCTATTTATACACAGCTGTAGCTGTCAAATCGATGCGGGATTCTAGGAAAAATCTCACCCGAAACGTGATTCTCGTGTTTTCAAAAAAGGGGGGTTTCAATTTCTGAACGCACCCTCACATTCAGACAGTTGAACGCATGATTTAGACATGCGTTCTGGTGACCAACCCCCACCTATCACGTAACTAACCCCTTCAAAGGGGTTAATATTCCAAGCAATAACCAGACGGTTGAGATCATTTTACCCCAGACGAGATGATCAAGAAGATTCTTCCGAAGCTATCTTCCTGACTAAGCTGGGGATGAAAGCCTGTTCATACAAGCTGAAGTCCAAGTCATTATTGACGAACTAAACAAGAAAGAGGATGTCAACAAATTTGTCTAAGACCCTGAGATGCTCCACTCAGTCTGTGATGAGATGCATTCAATCAGCAAAATTTTGGGATCCAAAGTATTCCGAAAATTCGTCCCAGTCAACCGTGAACTTTTGAAAACTTTAGAGGGGGTTCTGTAGGCTGTCTAAAAATCACAATGGATAGCTGATCCTCATCAAGCTATAACAATGAAAGTTACAATCAGACCACTTTCTTGTTACCCAACATAAAGCTACAATCGAGGGACGCTCCTATGGACCATGAAGAAATCGAGAGCTAGAATTCATCCCTACAGTCAAAACACAAGTGGCTACGCTCCAAAAGACAAAGCACCGCAATCATTGCATCCTTAGCTGTCAACATAGTTCCATGTTTGAGATGATTGATCTTGATGGCTGCGACAACAACATGACTAACATCATATTAGCAACTATTAGAGATGCTGATGAGCAGTGTAATGATTTTAGAAAAGCAGGAAGATCTAGGGAACTGTGGGCAAATATTCGACATGCTGAGAAGTGCATGGTTAAAAGCCATGAGGTCTTAGTGGAGATCGTGATCCGCGGTTGATAGAGCGTTATTGGGGTGTCTCAAGTGTCACAAATAGCCTTCTCTACTGGTCATTGGTGTCATCCATATATAAAGACAGACAAAAAGCAGCTTAAATCAGCCGCTGAACACAGCTTAAATCGCCACTGGACGCAGCTCTACCTGCTGCCCAACGCAGCTCTATACCGCTGCCAGACGTAGCTCCAACCTGCGCCAAACATAGCTCCAAATCGTCGCCAGACGCAGTTCCACAACATCGCAGAACGCAGCTCTACATCGCTGCAGAACGCAGCTTTACATCGCTGCAGAACGCAGCTCTATATCGTTGCACAACGCAGCTCTACATCGCTGCACAACGTAGCTCTACATCGCTGCAGAACGCAACTCTACATCGATGCATAACGCAGCTCTACATCGCTGCAGAACGCAGCTCTACATCGCTGCACAATGTAGCTCTACATCGCTGCACAACACAGCTCAATATCGCTGCAGAACGCACTTCCAGATGTTGCGTTCAAGCGCAGAATCTATGCTAGAACGCAAGTCAAAGTTCTGACCTGTTCAAACACGATCCATGCAGTTTTGAAAACCGCTCCTCACCCACGATCTGAGGAGTGGCTTACGTGGGTTGTTACAACCGATTAATGGGGGCAGTTACACCCCTAATCTCCCTATAAATATCAACAAACTCAACAGAGTTCGGGGTTGGACTTTTGGAGAATCAGAGAGAGAGATTTAGAAATCGGATTCAGAGAGTGAGAGGATCAACTCCTTACACAGTCTGGGGAATCATCATCAGCTGAAGAGTCCAGACATTCGATACTTGGCTTATTAACCGAATTATTTTCGGTTCCAATAACTCTTTTCATATTAGAGTTTGTTACTCGTTCTGAGCTACAATACTCGTCAAGAGTTATCAACCAGACAAGTCAGTTGTTCCAGTGAATTGAAATTTTCGGATCGTCAACAAGAATCAAACTCGACGCGAGCATTCGAGGGAGGCATCTTATCGCCACCGAGAAGAACCCAGAATTAAACAAAGGGGAGAATCAAATTCATTCTCCTCTCTTTTGTAATCAGGAAATCCAATTGTAATCGAGAGTTGAGAGATTTGTAAACATTCTTTTTCTAAGCAGTTAGAGAGAATAAAATCAAATACAGTTCTTTCATTCATTTTCTTATTGCAAAATTTTCCACAAACAAGCACAGCAAAGGAAATTAAAGCGGCGACTTGGGAGCAGTGCGAAGGCGGCTTTGGAGCAGAGCAAGTTGGGGTTTCTTTTGCGGCTGCAAATTTGGGAGCAAGGCAGAGTGCAAAGGACGGCGTGGGGCAGCAAGGCTTTTGTGAACGTAGTCTTCGGTCTTGGATCTGAGAGGATTTTCAGCATACTTTTGTGCAGTCTTTTGTGTCTTTGTAGAGAGAGATTAAGAGGGATTTGAGAGTTTGTTTGAGAGGGTTTAGATTGTGAGATTGTAAACCCTAATTGTATCTCTCCCTCTATTAGTAGATCTCCCCTCCTTACCCCGTGGACGTAGGCAGTTTGCCGAACCACGTAAAATTAGTTTGTTTGAGTTTGTGGCCATTGTAATAGTTTTTAGGATCCCTCGATAAGTCAGTCCTAGAACTGATGAGAGGAAGAGCCGATATCTAGCAATCTCAGAATTACAACTTGTTTGAAATGTCAGAGAGAGTACTTGTACATTTATGCTTCCATAAATATTCTTTTCTTTCTATATATAGACTTTATTGAACTAACTTTTGATATGCATCAACCTTGTAGTAGATTTCCTGATCTTTTTCTTGGTTTCAATCTTTGGCAATAAGAGCTTGAAGGTTCTTTCAAATGAGTGGAAGAATGGTACTGAATATTTGACTGGTAAGATTTTATCTTCTTCTTTTGTACCTGTGATTTTTTTTAGTTTCTCTTAATTAATCAGTGGTCACAATTTGCAGAAACCACCGGAGTCTCTGCTGTTGAATGTCCCGCAAAAGAGGAAGACCTTTCTTTGATATGTGGGATTCCTTTTCCACCACCAGATACTACACAAACTGTCTCAATGGATTACTCGAATGTACTAATTCAACTCTAAATATTACCTAAATTTCATTTATGTAATTGTTCTGCAATCAACTAATTTAACCTCCACGTATCATTCAATTCTGAGATAGAAGAAAATATCGTTGAGAAGAAAGATGTCAGTGAGATGAGGTTCCACGTATCATTCAATTCTGAGATAGAAGAAAATATCGTTGAGAAGAAAGATGTCAGTGAGATGAGGTGAGAGGAAAATATCACAGAGAAGAACGATGACACTGACATGAAGCGAAAACCAAAACCTATTGTGTTCAAGTATGAAGACGAACTGGAGGCTTTAAAGAGGAAGCTAAGAGAAGGATGCAAGGATGCAGAAGAAGGTATGTTTCTCAACACTATTTCTTTGATTGTATTTTATTTTTTGGTACAGAATAGGAACTAACTAGGTGGCTATATAATTTCATAATGCAGCAAAGAAAAAGAGAAAGATTACAATCATTGACATGAATGACCGACAATCAGTACAAAGCCATAACAAAAAGAAGCCTGAAGTAAAGCACGGATGCCGCATAAACAAATTTATCAAAATGAGGCCTAAACATAATTGCCACTCTTCGATTTGGTAGATAGTTTCAGTTACTGTTTTCCATTGAGTTTTAAAAATAGCTTATGTAAATATTTTGATTGTAAAATGTTTCTGTTGATGTAATGTCTCAGTTGTCTTTGTTTATTTCTAAGTAAAATTTTTTATTTTCTGTAGTGTGATAGACTGATTTTCAAAATGGTCCATTGTAGTTAAGCTCGAAGAATGTATGCTAAGTCTCACCATGTTTTTGCTCAAGCTCTCTGTCATGCACTTTTTATTGTCAGTTTCACCTGAAACTGATAAAAAGAGCAATGTTGAGTAGATGAAATGCCTGATATTGTATGAGAAGTTCTTGGATTCTTACTTCAGAATTTTAAACCGTTGGCAAATATTCTCTTGTATATTCATATTTCATCTACTTTTTATCTGTCCTTGATGATCTCTCATGTGAAGTTAATGCATGTGTGAGGAATACAAGAGAGGGCTAACCATAGTATTGCCTAATTTAACTGGAAATGCTAATATTGGATGCCTAAAAAAGGGACCTTTGGTTAGAGCCTTAGAGAAGAGTTAAAATTACCCAATTTTATATATAAGGAATGTTACTTAAATATATAAGTGAGATCATCAAAATAGTAAAGGGAAAACGATTAAAATTTAAAAAAGAAATTCCACCCTATCAATTCTGTGAATGACTACAGTGGTTTGATAAATTTTGTACTCTGTAGTAGCATGACATGTATATGACTGAAGCCGCGGAATTAAATGGTTAAAGAAATGTACGGGTAGACTACGTAAAAGAGGAGGAAACATAATTTCCATTATCAGCAACCAGGATTAGAATAGAGAGGATGAAATACGAAGTTGGAATCACCTAAATATTAACCAAAAGGACTTCATGTCACATGGAACAAACAAAAAAGTCAAGTGATGAAGATAAAAGAAAATTTGCTCCTGACAAAATATGCAACATCTCAATACTTCCATCAGTTTCATTACCAGCATTACTGTTGTTATTTTGTTGGCCCAAAGACTTTGGCCCGTTTCCATAAAGGCCCATTTCCCTCCTTTAAGCTGATGAGCCCTAGCCCCTCTCTTCCTCTCTTTATTCAATGGTTTCTCACCTCCTCCCGATCTCTGTGATCTGATGGTCGCCGCTGTGAGTCCCATCCATAGGTCGGCTCCTACCTCCCTAAACCCTAGCCTCCTCCCCCGTGTCGGCTGCCCCCTTCCCTATTTAAGGTGAAGGGCCGGTAGTAGCTCGGTGGTAGGGAAATAGCGTGGGTGTTGAGATCTTGAGCTCTGTGCTTTACCCCCTTTGTGCGATCCTCTTCACTATCTGAGCTCTGTGCTCCTTCGAAGGCTCTGTGCTTTCAACCCTTTGTGTGATAGAGAGAGAGAGACAGTAGCTTCCCCCCTTTGTGTTCTTGGTGGTGCACAGTTGAAGAAGAAGGACTGATTGAGCAGGCTTCTGAGCCAAACAGCGACGTTGATTCTCAACAGTGGTATCAGAGCGAGGTTAGTGTCGCTGTGCTTCAAAACCGCTGGACTTCGCCGGACCGCCGCCGCGTAGGTAAGGTCGAAACCCTCCCCTAGGGTTTCGCTCAGGTAAGGTGATGGAAATCTGTTTCTGTAGTTCTTAGCTTGATCTTGTCTGCATCGCCATCTTTGAAGTTCCTGTGCATTCAATCTGATTGAATAATTACAGTTCAATCAATGGTATCAATTACAGATTAATCTCTGGCTTTGTTGAAAAATTACAGTAAATCTTTGGGTCTGTTAAATTTTTCCAGAAATTAAAATACTGTTTTTTGGGAGTGCTCGTGTGAAAGATCAAAGAGATTGAAACAAGAACTTTGTGTTCATCGTTCTTCTCATTTGTTCGTGCTAGTTGCTTCACACGTTTCGAGCCGGATAATTACCAAAATCGTGCTATTTTTTTTGCTGTTTGTTTTTTCTGAGTGAAAAATGTCTGCTGCTAATTAATATAGTATGATTCAATATGGTATGGCTCCGTTTAACGGAAAATCTGATTTTAGCATTTGGAAACAAAAAATAAAATGCATCTTAATCCAACAGAAGTCCTTTAGGGCTGTTGGTCAGACTTATTTAACTTCTGACACTGAAAATAAACGGCGGAAATGAACGAAAATGCTTGTTCCACAATTTATTTGAACTTATCTGACTCTGTGATTAGAAAAGTTGGAATTTTGGAATGTGCTAAAACTCTTTGGGATAAACTTGAAGAACTCTATACTGAAACCTCTTTGCCCAGTAAAATGTTTTTGCTTGAAAAAATTTTCAAATTTAGATTGGATATGTCTAAGGACATTGAGGAGAACCTAGATGTTTTCACAAAACTTATTTCAGATATTAAGTTAACTGGTGATAAACATATAGACGATTATACTCCTATTGCCCTTCTAAATGCTATTCCTGACTCATATAGTGATGTGAAATCTGCTATTAAATATGGCAGAGATGAGGTTACCCTTGATGTTGTGGTCAATGGTCTTAAGAGTAAGGAATTAGATTTAAAACATTCTGGGGGAAATAAAAATTCTGGTGAGGTTATGCATGTGAGGGGTAGGCCTCAGAATAGGTCTAATTACCAAAAGAATGCTAGTAATGGGGAATCAAGTAAGAAAAAATTTGAAAATGAAAGGGGTAGATCTAAGTCCAGGTTTAAAGCTAAAAAAAATGCTATAATTGTCATGAAACTGGTCACTTTATTAAAGATTGTCCTAAGGCTAAGAAAAATCAGCAAAATGAACATGCTAATATGGTTGTCTGTGAGGGCAAAATGGGTGAGATTTTCATGATTAATAATCTGTGTGATTATGCATATTTGAACTCTGTGTTATCTGATCCTTTGTGTAAATCAGATTGGTTGGTAGACTCTGGTTGTACTTTTCATATGACTCCTTTTAAAAACTTGTTTTCAAACTACAAGAAAATAGAGAATGGCTTTGTGTCAATGGCAAATGAAAAGAAATGCAATGTTTTAGGAACTGGTGATGTATGCCTTAGGTTTTCCTCTGGTTCTGTGTTTACTTTGAAGGATGTTAGGCATGTTCCTGATTTACGTTATAACTTGATTTCTTGTGCATCTCTAGAAAATGATGGTTTGGAGGGAAAATGGGGTAAAGGGGTTATGAAAATACTAAAAGGGTCTCTTGTTATTTTTACTGCTGAAAAACAAAACAATTTGTATATTTGTCATGCTGAACCTGTGCTTGATTCTGTTAATTCTGTGATAGGTGATAAATCTGTTTTATGGCATAATAGATTAGGTCACATGAGTAATAAAGGATTAGAAATTTTGCATAAATGAGGTCACTTTGGTAGTGATAAAATATCCCCCGTCCCTTTCTGTGAATCTTGTGTGCTAGGAAAACAACATAGGGTTACTTTTCCTACTTCTTCTTTTCCTAATCAGTCTAAGTGCACTAGTGTACTTGAATATTTGCATGCTGATGTGTGGGGACCCTCTAGTGTGCCTACGCATGGAGGGAACCAATATTTTCTTTCCATAATTGATGATTATTCTAGGAAAGTTTGGGTTTTACTCATGAAACAAAAATCTGAAGTTTTTGATAAATTTAAAAACTGGAAAATTATGATTGAAAACCAAACGGGAAAGAAAATTAAAACTCTTAGGACAGACAATGGTCTTGAGTTTTGTAACAAACAATTGAATGATTTGTGTACTACTTGGGGTATTAAAAGGCATAAATATGTTCTCTACACACCCCAGTAGAATAAGGTTGCTGAAAGGACGAATAGAACTTGTTGGCCTTCTTGTTTTGATGATGTTTAACAAACAATTTACCACTAATGTTGTTTGTCTAGTACTTGAGTTTTCGTATTTATTGTAGACAAACAACGCAGTTGGAGGATGGATGGATTGCGCCATAACGATCATATCAAATGGAGGTTGGCGGAATTGTGGAGTGAAGCAACATGCAATTCATAGTTAAAGATCAAGTTCAAGCTTCATCCGCATGTGTACCAAGTTGAGCTACAATTACATGTTCCTATTCCTGAAAATGATGCTCCAAATGAGGTGGAGCAAAAGCCTATTATTAATCAACCCAAATCATTTCCTGAAGAAAAATTGAATGATATAATTATTGAAAATCAAGATGAGATTATTCCAAATGAGGTGGAGCATGATATGCAGGAAATAGATAACATGCATGATTTGAATGATTATCAACTCACTAGGGATAGAAATAAAAGAACCATTAGGAAACCTGAAAGATATAGAGATTGCAATTTGATTGATTGTAATATGTCTGAGTTTGCCTTTAATGTGTTTGAATCCCTTGAGTGCAATGAACCTAAGACTTATAAAGAAGCATTAAGGTCAAAATATTCTGAAGAATGGATTAGTGCTATGAAGAGTGAGATGGAATCCCTAAAAATTAACCAAACATGGAAACTTGTTCCTAAACCTGCTAGTTGTTCTGTAGTGGACTGTAAGTGGCTGTTTAAGGTGAAACAAGAATCTGAAAGTGTTAGGTTTAAGGCTAGGTTAGTAGCTAAGGGATTTACTCAAAAGGAGGGAATTGATTATGCTGAAATTTTTGCTCCTGTTGTCAAATTCACTACTGTTAGAATTATGCTTGCTTTAGTTGCTCATTTTAATTGGGAATTAAAACAAATGGATGTAACTACTGCTTTCTTGCATGGTGATCTTGATAAAAATATTTATATGCACCAAACTGAGGGCTTTGTGGACCCTAAATTGCATGATCATGTGTGTTTGTTAAAAAAGGCTTTGTATGGTTTAAAACAATCACCTAGGCAATGGAATATTAGATTTGATAAATGCATGCAATCTTTAAAGTTTAAAAGGAGTTCTGCTGATCATTGCCTGTATTATAAGAATATAGACTCTGTGCCTGTATTTCTTGTAATTTATGTGGATGACATGTTGATTGTTAGTCCTTGTTTGAAGTCTATTGAGCATGTTCAAAAATGTCTTTGTGAAAATTTTGACATGAAAGACTTAGGTGATGCTAAAAGAATCCTAGGCATGAATATTATTAGGGACAAAAACAAATCTACTCTAGTTTTAAACCAAAGTTCATATGTTGAAAAAATTTTGAGTAAATTTGCTATGTCTAATGCCAAATCTGTGAATGTGCCTCTTGCTTCTCATTTTGTGTTAAGTAAGGATCAATCTCCCAATACTGAAACTGAAATAAATGATATGAAGAAGGTGCCATATTCGAATGCTATAGGATCTGTCATGTATCTCATGGTTAGTACTAGGCCTGACATTGAATATGCGGTTAGTTGCTTGAGTAGATATATGTCAAACCCTGGTATGCCTAATTGGA